TGCAACTGATTTTTGAACGTTAATCTTGTAACCTACTACCTTGCTGAATTCTTTGATCAGCTCTAGTAGTTTTTGTCTGGACCTTTTAGGGTTTTCTATATATAGTAACATGTTGTCGGGATTTCAAAATTGCAGAATAGATAAACAAGATTATACTGTAGAGCACAGGGAAATATATACAAGATCTTATGGTAGCTCACAGAGAAAAAAATGTGTCAATAAATATATATATATGTGTTCATGTATAACTGAAAAATTGTGCTCTACACTGGAATTTGACACAACATTGTAAAATGATTATAAATCAATAAAAAATGTTAAAAAAAGAATACAATTCATATTCTATTTAAGTATTTTTATAAATGAGTCTTCCCAAGGTAAGATTCTTACTTTTCTTCACTCCTGAAAAGGCCAGCTCACAATTATAGGCTCTCAGGAGTTTGGGCATATTCTCACCATGGAAAAACTGAGAACAATTCTTAAGTGCAGCCTTCTCTGCCAAGCGCCTGCAGGTGACACTCTCAGTAAGGAGGCCCCCGAAAATCTGGGTTAGGATCCCCGTGATGACTGATGAACCGGGAATATATCAAATGCTGAAGGAAGTTAAGGGAGGATATTACCTTTTGAATTTCTTGAGCTTTCTCAATATTTTGGCTTTTCTGCTGCAACATCTGTTCGACAGTATGAAGTCCTTTGTTAATTTCGTCTATTTTTCTACTCATTGCATACGATGGTGAGCTTTTCAAGACTTCACTGCTAATCTGTTACAAAGGGAGAAAGACAGTGGAGATGTTTTACGCACTCTACTCAGAGGTTCAAAGGATGAAAGGGGTAGTCACACTGGCAATTTTACTTGTGTAAGTCTTTCAAAGGCTAGGGGGAAAATCCCAAGCCATACCGACTAAGGCGTTAGTGAGAGGATAGATTAGTAGGTTAGGAAATGGCAGCTGTGCTGACCTGACCTTATAAATCCAACCTAAAAAAAGGAAAAAAACTGACCAACAAAAATGTGTCAAATGTAACTGACGGAATATGTACTACAGACACGTGTTGGACAAAACTACTGAAGTGACTGTTTGAAATATACCCTAGGGAGTAAATAATATGAAAAAATTCCTGGGAGATAAATTATTTATTATACAGTCTCTCCATTTTATGAGAGAATTCTCTGCACAGATTTGTTTTCAATAAAAGCAAACATTCAACCTGACTTAATAAATGTAACTCCCACCCTAATATCATTTGGGTGAAATAATCTTCTAAAACTAGCTATTTTTTGCAGCAGAAAAAAGCTTAGTTTTTCTCTGTGTGAATGTTTCTAGTGTATGTTTTCCTAGCTGCTGAACAGTGTAATTTTTTTATCTGAATGATTTTCCTGAGAAAATAACTTCGCAAGGAAAGATAATGAATACTGAATGTGTCATTGTTTTTCAAATGCCTGATTAGTTTGTGTTCTTGTTTTTTTAATCTATGTTGATAAGGCTTTCTCAAAGCAGCCACCAAACAACAGAATAATACTTAATGTTTTTGTATAGCCCTTTTAATTCACTTTTTAAAACCACTGTATCTGTATAACCATTAAGACCAAATCTTCCAATGCAGATAATATATACAGATGCAGAAACTGAAACACAGTCTAAGTGACTTGTTTAAAACCACACAGCAAGGTAGTGGTTGAACTCCTGCAGAGGAGCCTCCAGCCACCAGATTCCAAAGATCCAGACTCTTTTTACAACACCAGGTTGTTTATACTTTCATATAATGATTTTATTTCACAGATCGTATCACAGTCAAGATTTTTAGGAAAAAAATTAATCCTGTGTTAGTTTTTTTTTTAAATTGCTGTATTAGCTTTTTATTGCTATGTAACAAATTACCACAAAAATGAAGCTTTCTGATATTTTGGTCAGTTACTCTTCTGGCAGAAATGCATATCATTTTGGTACGTTAGGAGAAATCATAATTCAAGAAAAATATGCAGTCACCTGAATTATACGGAATGGTACTATGTCTGTTGCCTGGACCCTTGAGACATATCACACAATAAAAATCAGTTGCTGTTTGTTACAAACATATACAAATATAAAAGTGACAGTTGAAATCTTCAACCCTAAGTTTCAAAGGTAGATTTTGATTATTAATTCACTTTGTTGGGGATTTTCACACGTCGTCACGAGGACTAAATTAAGTTTCTCTCAAAACATTTAGTATTCTCTTACAATAAAAATCAATAGTACATGATCCCTGAGGCAGTACCTCATAACAGATTATCTTGTGTGTCAAATCTACAAGGTTTGTTATTATGGATATTAAAAGTTTGCATGTTTTTTACGTAGGTTAGATTTTCCAAAAAAATGTCATCAGTTCAAAATCTTGTGTGTGCATAGACTATTTATTCATTAAATTATAGGTATTCTAGGCTTCAAAAAGCAATACAAAAATTCTTCTGTGTATGCTGGACCAAAGAGAACTTTGTTGTTGGATCTGGGCAGCCATTAAAAAAAAATACAGTAAAATTGTCTTGCTAAACAACTATGTCTCTACCACTACGAAACATTTCCCACTCTTACTTCCAACCTGGACTTTCAGGTATAAAGATTTGCCCAGGTATGCTTTGTGAGAATTCTGTTACCATCATCATTAGAAAGACACTGTGTATTAAGTGCTATTCCTTGTGAGTTGTGAAATGTATATTCTTATTGCCCTTGGTTGCAATTTCAAAATGTTCGTAGGGAATACGTTTTAAAGCAAAGTACTATTCATGTACAAAATTTTAAAGTAATTCTCTAGGGGAAAAAAAAAGCCAAGTGAAAGAAAATACGTAACTTTATTTTTAAATGCAAGAGAAGAAAAACTAAGCAAGCATCTTGACAACTAAAAATAAACAGACAAATTCTGTTATCTGTGTCACTTATTGAGAGCAACTCCATCTCAGTATTCAACACACAAAATTATCACTCAACTAAACTCTATAAAAACAGACATACCAGAAATCAGGGCAAATGAAAATGTGATATTAAATGATATTTTTTCTTTATATTCATTCACCTCCATAAATAATAACACGAACACAAACATTATTACCTTCTCATCTATGTCTTCTAAAGCTTTTCTGCATTCTTCCACCTGGGATTCAATCTCTGCAGGGACTATGGTGTACATTTCAGAATACTTGATTCGCAGTTTTTCCATAATATTCTCAAAAGTTAGCTTCCCTTTCTTAAGAAAGTTTTGAAGCTCCTAAAATAACCAAGAGAGTTTCAAATGCTCACAGGACAACGAAAAAGTTTAATTCTAAAAAGGAAAGCAGCTTTCCAGCACATCCTTATGATTTAAATGAGCAAACTTTGCATAACAAAACCTCACTATTGATACAAGCTGATTAAGCCTGAGAGATACTCAGTCTGGTCAGATGATGCTAATTTGTAAGAATTAAACTTGATATCTCTCCATAGTGTCAAACCATTGTCCTGAAAAGACATTACAACATCCCTTGCTTCTAAAGTACCTGGAGGATTTAATGGTATCTCAGTCACAGTTTGGGTCTAAAAAGCTGCAAGTAGCAAAAAGTTTCAAAGAATTTTTTTTGTTGTTGTTATTAACTTGTTGCCATTTCTGCTTCTTCCTACATTATCATCACAATGATTCAAGGCCACTAAAAGCCCTGTGCTTCAAGCAGAAGTGTCTGCTTTCATGTAATTAGACAGCCCAGCAGAGCTCAACTTCTTTCAAAACGGAGGGTTCCAGTTCCTTGCAAAGAATGTGGGTTTTTAGGAGATAAAAGAAACCTGAACAAATAGTCTATTGGTCGTGGCCTAGAAACAGAATCTGATCTACGTTCTCCTGCACTAATTATAAAGGAGAAACTCATTTGTTTGGGAAAGTTTCTCAACGATCAAGTGGAAAAATACTTCTTGACTTTACTGTGCCTTCTTGGGGTTTCTTTTGTTTTTACAGTAGCCGCTCAGGAGCATTATTTGTGTTAATGGACTGAGTCATCACACTGAAGAATAATAATAATTTCGAATGAGTCCACGATGTGTCACTGCTTTCCTTCACCCTCCGCAGACAACAAGTCTAGAGAGGGAAAGTTAAAGAACAATGCCATTCAGACAAAGGCAGGGGTTGAGGTACAGTGTGCTCCTGTGTTATCCAGACCTAGCCTGGGGTACAGGTCTTCATTCAGACATACTCTTAGATGGTCTTCCCATGAAGACAGCTTCCATGAAGGAGGGTAAATTTCCTTTTTCGAAATTGATAACCAAAAGCTCTGGTTAACAACAGCATGTGACTTTTGAATAAATTTCCAAATGTCATTTTTTGCCTGTTACCCCTGAGTAAATGAAAAGAGATCATTCTGAAAATGACCCTTGGCCTATGCATAGATACGGTGATATAATAAATATATTTGGTCTTCAGCCCTGGTTATTGGCGCAGCTTCTGAAACCCTTGGAATTTCCTGGATGGGGGTGAGAGGAGCATCTTTTGTTAAGTACAACAAGCCTTTTTCAGCCTTACCTGAGGTGGGGGGATGACAGCTTCAGGATGGGGGTTGGCTGCCAGAGGAACCAACCACGTGATTAGAGGGTTGGAACTTTCAACTCCACTTCCAGACTTCCAGAAGGGAGAAGGGCTGGAGGTTGCATTAATCACCAACTGCTAATGATTTAATCAATCGTGCCTATGTAATGGAACCTCCATAAAAACTCTTCAACAAGGTTGGGAGGGCTTTGGAGTTGATGAACACATCAAGGTGCTGGGAGAACAGTGCACTCACAGAGGACATGGAGGCTCCTTGCCCCTTCCCCCTCCCCTTGCCCTACGCATGTCTTCCAGCTGGCTGTTTCTGAGTTGTCTTCTTTATAATAAACTAGTAATAGTAGTAATAGTAATACTTAAGTGCCTTCCTGAATTCTCTGAGCCATTCTAGCAAATTACAAACCTGAGGGGGGGGTCATGGGAACTCTTCATTTATAGCCCATCAGTCAGAAGCATGGTGGCATGTGACGTGAGGGCAGTCTTGTGGGAATGAGCCCTTATCATGGGGATCTGTACTAACTCCTTGGAGTTAGTGTCAGAATTGAATTGGTGTCCCAGTTGGTGTCCAGAGAACTGGAGAATAGGTTGATGTAGGGGAAAAAAAAAAACCCACACATCTGGTATCAGAAGTGTTGAGAGTAAAAACTGTTCCACTCCTATCAGAGATAAGACATTACTCCCGCCAAAGGAAGCAGTCTAACATGCTACTCAAGAGTGGTCTGGCCTCTGTTCACCAAATACACTTGAAATGTGGTTGGAAAAGTTCTGCTTGGTCTAGACTGGCCTATCTCCTAACATGGCCTCAATTCTTCTCTCTGGACTCCAACCATACCTCTCCTGAGGCTCTGCCCACATCATGCCACAGGGCCTTTGCACGTACTTTCCTTGCTCCTACACCACTCCCTCCACACTAGCACAGAGTTACCTCTGCCCTAAGGACTTTGGATTCAAGATTTTAGACCTGTATTAGCCACATTCACTAGCTCATTTCTCACTTACCTCAAGCTGTTCTGCCTTTTCTGGGAGGTCTTGTGATTCCATATTTTGGAAAGATGCTGTGGTCTGTTGAAGTAAATTCTTCAAAGTAATTATTTCTTTTGTAAAGGAACGTCTTTCTTGGATTTCATTCTGTATCAATTCCTTATTTTTTTGAACTTTCTGGAAAAGCCTAAAATATAGCATCAAAATAAAATTGTTCCTCTATCCTGCTTTCCTGCGCAATAGTTTTATTTCAACAGTTAACATAATCTCTGCATAGCTCACAAAAGATTTTTTCCCCTGAGAGAAAAGGAACAGTTTTCAATGATTCATATACTACATACACAAGCATACATCGGATTCTATCAGTCCATCAAAAACCTCTCTAACACTTTCATCCCCAAATATCTTCTTTTCACATTTTGCATTCCAACTGCCATCTCTATCCTCTTTTTTCCATGTAATCCCTGAGTTCAAGTGAACATGACTCAGAGGTGTGAATGGAGTCACACATGGGCTCTTGGAGTCATGGACGACCCCTCCAGCATTTTCATCTGAGCTGAGCCCATCTGCTGCGGATGTAGCCATCATATTAACAGAGGAGTTTAAGTGGGTAAAGTCTTTCCTAAGGGCTAGTTGGTAAATATTTCTAGCTATAAACATATTTTATCCTTTGACCCAGTGATTCTACCTCTTGGCATCTTTCTTAATCGATCAATCACAGATGCAGAAAGAGATTCTAGCATAAGAATATTTACTACTGTGTTTCATTAAAGGTTCTATATTAGGGGCTTGGTTAAATAAACTATGGCATATCCACATGGTGAAATATTCGACAGCTATGTTTTACAGAACATTTAATAGCACAGGAAAATAAACAAAATATGCTGATAAATGGTTCAGCAGAATACAAAACAGTATAATATTATGATCACAATGTGTTTAAAAACATAATCACGGTAAAAAGATGAGAAAAAAAGCGATTGGTATTGATTGGTAGTGACCGTTGCTGGGTGGTAAAAGTAAACGTGGCTTTTTTCATAACTTGCTAAATTTATTTATGGTCTATAAATCTTCCCAGTATATGCCATGCTTTTCTAAGCACTTGATAATAATAAATCTTATAAATGTCTCTGAAGTGATGCCTTGAAAAATGCTGATGAAAGTAAAGATTAATAAACTTACATCCTTACAGAAAAAAAAGTAAAGGTGGTTTTTATATTAATCTTTATAATTATCCCCATTCTCTAAACTTCCTATAATGAATATATATTACTAAGAAAAACAGCAAATTAAAAAAAAAATTGTATTCTGTACACCAGAAATTGACACACTGTAAACTGACTATACTGCAATTAAAAAAAAAAAAAAGGTATTTCCCCTCAAAAAAAAAAAAATTGAAGGATATTCACTCACAGTAATACCAGGATGGAGAATGTGTGCTTGATAATTAAATCATTAATACTAATCTTTTCCATTCTTTTTATACCTATTGTATTGACTCAATTCGATTCTGTCATATTATCTGTCATTATTCTGTAGTATTTTTACATTCTCGAAATTCAGTATTTTCTAAATTTTAAGCCTGAGTTGTCAAGCATGTTTCCTTAATAGTTTTTCATATATCTTACTTGCTGCATCGTTCTTGCATAGACGTAATCTCCAGAGATGCCGGCACAGTTTCCACGGCCGCCAAGCTTTCTGGAGCATTCTGCATGTTTTTTATGCGCTGCAGAAGTAGGGCCAGTAACAACTGCTGCTTCTCCGCATTCTCTTCATGTTGGCATAAACAGTCCAGCAGCTCAGAGAGTTCCTCTGTGGTGACCGCCTCTTTTGTTTTAGAAATTTCAGGGAGTTCTTCTTGAAGATTATCTAAAATAATTGCTTCCCGTTCAATCTATTTCAATAAGCAAAAAAAAAAAGAAAGAGAGAGAGAGAGAGAGAGTCAAAATAAGTAAAATATACTCTGATCACTTCAGGACCTGAAACACACCTCAGCCATCATAATTTTTGCATACTGGCTCCTCAAAGGGTTCTCAATGCTATACCTTGGTTTAAAGTAATATTTATCTTCCTAAAGCTCAGAATATTATTCCTCCACTATCTCAATCCCATAGTTCCCAGCTATGGATCATGTAGATGTGTGATTAAAATGAGGTGTTGTTGTTAGGAGCTGAATACTGTGTATTTTCATAATTTCTTTCTCCTTCTGATTTCAGTTGCTCAAAGCAATTACTTCTGCTGAGACACCTAAAAGGTAGTTAGAACGAGCTCCACCAAACTGCATCCACAAAATAGAAGAGGTTGGGCAAGTACTGGATAATTTTTCTGCAGGTCTTTTTTCTTTCGCATTAAATCCCAATATGCTCCAAAAAGTAAGTCCATTGCATCTCCATTACCTTGACACCTACCTACACCAAAGGGAAAGCAGCCCAAATTACTGAGCTAATCATGTATCTCTCAACCATGGCTAAATTTAGAACTCAGAAACACACCACCTAATAAATCAAGTATCTGGAAACTGGAGTTCCAGCAGCCCTGAAACACAGAACGAAGACACAGAAAATCAGATCCCTCCTATTCCCTCCTCAAATCCCCTGGCCCTCCCCTCATCAGCACTGTACACATATCACATCCTGTCCCAGCATTGCTCACATTCCTGCTCTGTGTTCAAACAGTCAGGCATCCTGCAATCTGGACATTACTGAATGTCACGCAGGTCAACAACATTTATGACAGCATGCTAGTTGAAATGATGAACAAGGACCTGGATGCCCAGTAAGACATGCCAGAGGGTGGGAAATAAAGCTTATGAGAATTCAGGAGCCCCAACATCAATTATGTTTCCAGCGGGCCAATGGGCTGGGGCATGCCAGGACTTCTATCAGGTAAAGATCAAGTTGTTCAATCTTGAACCTCTACTGCTAAGAAGGAGGCACAGCACTGGATGGGCCTACTGGGATTTTGGTGGCAGTGTATGCTATACTTGTAACTACTGTTCAGATCCATTTACCGAAACACTGCCAACGCTGAGGGGAGCAGTGCAGCAGGGCCCGGCTGTGGTGTACGCTGCCCTGTTGCTTGGGCCACAGGTTCCAGTTGGGTCCCCACTCGCTAGAATGCATGGCTGCAGGTGTAGACTGGCTCCTCTCCAAGAGACCCAGTCATGGAATTTGTGCTCTCCATCACCTCAAACCTAAATTCAGTTGAACTCAAGTCCTGATTCTCAGACAGGCTGCTACACTTCCACCAGGGAACGGAATACAGGCTCCACTGGGTAATTTTGCCACCCCCTCCGCTGAAGAACTGGATTTCTTTAATGCAAAGAAACGAATGGCTATGTTGACAAAGATAATAGTACATCTAGGGCTTCCCATTCACATCAGGGTTGGAAGAACTACGTCCCTAATCCAGGACTTAATGGAGCATCTCTTGGTGCTTTCAAGGCCAGTGATACCCATAAATGGGCAACTGTAGGACCCAAGACCCGGAAAGAGTAAAGCAATTAAAGGCACTAATCTGTCCGGTGTCAGCTCTCCTATCTCCCACCCTGCTTCCTCAGATCACTTTCCCCCATAAATCATCTGGTTACAAGCCCCTGTCTAAGGCTCTGCTCTCTGCTGTACAGCTAGTAAGTAATTAGGATGGGAACACAAGGGGGAAAACTAATTTTTTTTAGAGCAATAATTTTACCCAAAAGCCAGGCAATTCTTCAACTTGTGAGTGGATAAACAAACTGTTGTACGTGTGCCCAACAGAGTATTACTCAGGAATAAAAAGAAATGAACTATTGACACACGCAGCAGCACGAATGAATCTCACATGCCTTAGGCTTAGCAAAAAAAAAAAGGCTAAACCCAAAAAGGCCACAAAGTATCCGAGGCCATTTATATGCCATTCTGGAAATGGCAAAACAGAGTCATGGTTGTCACGGACTGGTGGTAATGGAATGGGCTGGCTACGAAGGCGCTGACTACAAATGGGCACAGGGAACTTTCTGGGGTGATAGAAATGTTCTAAGTCTGGATTTTGTTGCTGGTGATGTGACCACATGCACTTGTCAAAACGCAATAAACTCTCTACACCAAAAAGAGTGATGACGGCCCCCAAATTAGTAAAATAGTTGCCACGAAGATTACGCATTCACTTTTCTACCTGGAAGAGGTTCTGCAGCCCTGGATGATTTTCCCTGCACAGAGAACTCTAACAAAAGTGGTTATAAAACTTTTAGGTTCACAGTCAGTTTATAAAGTTGACCCTAGAAAAGGAGAAGGAACCATAGTTGTTCCCTAAGTAAACACAGTGAAAGAGACTGAATAAACCTGTAAGTGGCAAAAATAGGAACTAAAACAGAAAGACTTTTGGACCTTTGGTACAAGGGAGAGAAGACAGCCCCACACCTCCTGTTAATCTTGGAATACATGCCTTTATTCCAGCACATCATCATCAGTGAGGCACAAAAAGATGATGCTGAATAACCAGAAATGAATAATTAAATCAAGCAGATTCTGCATAAGAGAACAGAGAGGTAAGATTTTGGAGGAGGAGGGGAAGTGGTAACTCAAAATTTAAATTAATTTTTTAATTTGCAAATTTAAATACAGCATTTAAGTTTTAAAAAAATCTACTTATACAAAGCCTTTCTTCCATAAAGATACTGGACTGTTGTATTAGAGTAGACATTTTAAAGACAGAAATTCATTTTGTCACATGGGAAATCACCAATCATGCTAACAGAATCTTGCATGTACAGGTATTTAGATGCTAAAACTTTTATTGAATGGATAAGAGCTATTTAAAAATCTTACATCAATCTAGCAAGTGTAAATAACATTTAAGTTGATAGTTCAGTGGTTAAAAATCAGTGTAAGTTTGAATCTACCACTCACTTCTGAAACTGGGCAATTTATTCAATCTCACTGTATCTTACTCCTCTCATCTGTAAAATGAGGATAATAAAAAAATCTACCTTGTAGGAGTCTTACAAGGATAAATATAAATGTAACACGTGTACAGTGCTTAGAACTATGCCTGACACATGCTCCACAAGCGCCCAGTAAGTGCTAGCAGTTGTTATTGTTACTACATGAGAACATATTTTGTTTGCTTTACTTTTTAAAAAACAACATTTTGTTAGCAGATACTGTCAAATGCTTGTGTGAATACAAAGTTCTAAATGAATGAGGTCTGAGTTAATAAAATCTGATTGCAAATGGACATATAGCAACAGAAAGATACTGTAATAAAATAAAAAGAACAAAAGGTTAGATTAGTGCAGACCTGGGTTTGTATAAGAGCTGTCCCTCCACAAGAATTTACCAAGCCCCTCCTAAGAGCAAGGCCCTGGCCAGATTCTAAAATTACAGTGGTGAGCAAAACAGATGTGGCCGCAGCCCACAGCCCCAACTCAATCACTAGCTGGGAGGGCTTGTACCAACTTAAGTCTCTCAGTGCCTCAGCTTCCCCATCCATAAAATGGTAGTAACAGGTAATTCCTGTGAGTAATGCAAAGACTCACTGGCATCAAGCATGAACTGTCTTCTTAGCACAGCACACAGGAACACAGTGCACAGTAAGAACTCAGTAACGGTGTCATTGTGGGTGGGAAAGAACTGAAGGCTAGCAGCCCTGCTGAAAGTATAACTTACAAAGTTCCTTAGAGTTTTAACATTCACGAGACTATTTACTAATCAAACTGCAACAACCCTGCCAAAATGATGCTCATCTTCGAGAATATCAAGTTTTAAACAGGAAAATGTGATAGTGCTAAACATTTAAATTCTAAGGCATGTGACTTACCTCCAATCGAGTACTGAATCATTATATTTCTCTCTTAAATAAATTCAGCAGGAATTTTGACATGAATAAGAGAAAAGGGTTTTCATTTATGTTGTGATCTGTACCTCATTTATACCTAGTCCTTTGGAAAGATTAAAGAAGGTCCTAAGATACTTTCATAATATTTTAAATTTTCTTTCTAAATATATATGATGCTCAAGTCCTGAATCACAAGGGTTAAAATAGCATCTGTGATTGATATCTATTATGGTAGGGTTTTTTTTTCCTTTTTAAAAATAGTATAAGAAGCATAGTCAGTTTACAATGTGGTGTCAATGTCTGGTGTACGGCATAATGTTTCAGTC